ACTGAATAATCATCATATTAAATTAACAAAACGGTCATAATATCGAACAACAATCACAATGAGTCAAATAAACAAAATTCCATTGTGTCACCTTATCCCGATCTATCAGAAACAACACACAGGTTCATTCATCAGAGGTCGATCCAACAAACCAGATAACGTGTCTGTGAGATAATCACATTTTCAAACAATCACATTCACTACACAATTCTTAGTCATACTAATTTTCGAGTAACATCATGCATTATGCATGAGAAGAACACATCGTTACACAAAAGCAACTCCACATTCTGTATTTTGTCAACGTCTTACTCACTCAGAATGCATCGATTGAGTACAATGGCTCGATGAGTAATCTGTATTTAGGAGATCATTCGCAATCGAGTCAGATGCAAACGACTGATATTTCTAGGTTGATATACATGAGAAAATGAAATATGAATAGATGAAATGGACAATCTTATCAGATTTCGTTTGATTTTCCCATTCCTGATGACATCTTAACATGAGCTTAATTCGATGTGATGTGAAAAGCATTTACGAAGATTGTTCACTAGTTCAATATGAATTGTTAGAACATACGTCGTCTCAGGAACCTACAATCGACGAAATTCTCTCATCGATTGATACTAATTGAATTCCAGTTCTAGATTTTATCATTTCATGTTTCATAAATAAATGTGTTGGTCGAACACATGTAGATGAATAACACATGAGGATATTGCACTTCATACAAACACATTGATATGTCAATAATTCCGATGAATGAGTGTTGTTAGATTTCACACTCAGTGGTATTTGTGCGCATAGTGAAGGAACAGTGAGCAAGATGTGACGAACTCTCGATTCATGCACAACTCAGTTCTAGATGAGTCCCATCTATATTGAAACCAAGTGAAAGATATGACATATTATGACAAGCATATTGTGAGATATCAACTGGACAAGTGAGAAGTGTGACCAAATCTCTACTTACTATCAATCGATATTCAACGACATTTGTGAACAACGACACATAACCAGTAGAGGAGATGTCGGAAATTACAACACTCTCGAAAATACGTTATTACTGAAGTTAAAGGATGGGAGTGAAATAATGACGCAATGAAACGTCATGAAACATTCACTACAAACTGAACATTTATCAATAGATTGGAATAATAACGCACCGTGTTTTAATCTAATGGATGATGAATACTGTTGTGAGTCGATTAATTCACAATAATAGCCAGTAATTATTGTTGTGTACATGTTATTAGAACGATTGATTTAGTGATCGGTAGCCCTGTTCACACTGTCATACTTTCCCAAACTATAAATCATGATATCAAGTACACCAACTCCGTTATCTATTGTTGGCATAGAGTCTTTTACAAAAATGAATTTTTCCAGGTTGCTCTATCTGATTACCATGTCAATATGAAATTAGAAATGTGATTAATATACAAATCGAAATAATGCAGTAATAATAATAGGGAAAATATATCATTGAAGATTTGTTAGTGAAAGACAGGTATCTGTGAAGGGACAGGGGAACCAAAGATTTTGGAGTAAGATGAAGAGCGAATGAACCTGTGCCTTTGGAATCGATCATAAGTTTTTTCGCCCAATGTTTTGACTGCTATGAGAAGGTCACGTACATCATATACTCTTCAACTAAATTATCGTGAATGAGTTAGTACACTAATGGTTCATGATGATCAAATGTTGAGACAAAATGTTTGTAGGGACAGTTTATTTATAGTGTTCAGTTCAAATCATACGGGCAGTATGCAGAATAGTAAATGAATCCTTTTTAGTATTTCGCAAGCGAATATGCTTTTAGAAGAAAATGAGTCATGAAACACTTCAATCAACTCATATTTAAACAGATCAGAGAATGAGATAGCAAGCTGATACACAAGCACCGGAATACGAACTTACTTTTATAAACAAGAATATTTGTATGAAAGTGTAAGCGAATTATTATGGGCTAAAATAACAGTCTGTTAGCCTTGTAAGTTAAACTAAAGGCTTAGTTAATTCAAGCATTTACAAACTTGTTTGTGTATCAGGGTAGTATATAACCACAAACCAACGTTAACGCATCGACCACAAATAGGCACTCCGTACCTATAAACATGTCGCAAACCATCAGTCAGTGACTGGTTTCGTGTTTCACTTTTTCTGAGTCCAACGTTCTTTCAACTAACTCCTACACCAGTAAACATCACCCTTTGAGATAAGTGATGATTAGCGCTACTTAGTTGATGTCATAACCACTTGATTTGAAGATTTTCAACCCCTTTCAACAACTTTGTCTCCTCTGCCTAGTACCGTATACATAAACATAAAATCACTCACTCGGTTGTTCAACGAACCGTTAGCAACGTTTACAAGTCACCTATGATCATAAATGTGCAATATACTCTTGTCTTCTATTGTAATATGGAGTTTTTTTAATGAACATAGAGTATTACAGAACGGAATACTGTTCAGTACGCTCACCCTTTAACTGTCAGACGAACATCTAACCTATATCAAAACCGGTGCGAGTTGGAATTAGCCAAATGGCCTATTGGGATCAGTGCAGAAATTTTGTTAGATGTCGACCCTATAGAGTCGATGAGACCATCAAGACAACAAAGTAGTCAATAGATTCAACCACTTAACTCGTTACCGTTAATTTAGGCACTGACGCTGAACAGTTCTGAAGCATGACTATCAAAGAACTCTGGGGTCACCCTTTCATATTCAGCTGCTCTACATCGTCTTCTAAACTTGTGTCAACCCCCTATTCATGTGGTCTGGCAATAAAATATAACTAGAGGTTAGCTTAAGGTCGGTTTAACTATTTCACAATGTTCTGCTTCATCTGTTTAACCTCATGGACCAAGCGTGAATAAAAGCTTCTTCTCTTTTTAAACCAGTCTTATTACCAACTGGCTTGTGGATAACTGTTAACCTGATTGATAGGTCTTTAATTCATTCACGCTAATTGGTTGGTCAAAACAAAGTATAGATGACCTGTGAAATGGGACGTTACAAATCAGTATCATGTCAAACATGCAATAAACCAATAGCTTGACAAACACACACAGTGAAACTATTTGATACACGTTCACCGTAAATCAGCTTCATAACAATTTACTTTTCAGTTTATTCTCCCAATTGTTTGACACTCAACAAGTACCATCAAACAAAATATGCAGGACCCTCATTCAAAACTGGTCACATTTATGACCGAATATATGGTGGTAGTTGATTCGATTCAATTTTATCAAAAAGGTGTCACAAATAACACACACACAGATATATGTAGATGATGTATTGGTAACTATCAAACTTGTCAGGTGTATTGTACTTGAAATTTCAGTCATTTCTACTAATTTGTTTACAACATTGTGATATAGAGTAATGACTAGATGACAATTAGTTGTTGTTACGGCAACGAGTGAGAAGAATATAAATATGCGATAATATTTGAAACGTTCAAAAAGATTTGTTACCAAAGGAACAGGTGAGTATAACGTTGTTCTTGTTCATCCTTATTACTATTGACTTACCCAATTGTGGTACTCGATAAGCTTCCTCATTCAAGACATCATCTGTTGGTGAAAATTATTAGTTACCCACAAGCAAATGTCTGTTGTAACTTCACTGTGCAACAAGTGCAACTTTCGATACATTCCTGGGTTTTGGCTTACTGAATTGAAAAAGTACTAACTTTGTCATCTACAGTGTATGATTTTCTATCCCAACATGACAAACTGTCCATTCCATTGATTTACACCAACGATGGAATGTGCTAGACAGTAGAGTAGAGCATACATTTCTTTATATTTTCCGAAGTTTGAGTAAGGCTGATTCTCTCAGAACTTCTATTCGTGTTACACAAATCGATCTACTTTGAAAACATTCTATAACTCGAAAACCGTGTATCACATTGTCAGTAATCAGTGACATTTTTACGTGACACAAGAGTACACTTAAACCACAATTAATAATTTAGTTGGTGTTATAGACAATGTGAAATAGTAAAATTTATTCTGCATCATCACATAACCACAAAACTGATAACTTCCTACTCATATGAGATTTGAAGTAATCAAGGATATTTATGAATATTTGAAGAGGTAATGATTGTGAAGACACTGTCACTACTTCCACAATACAATTATTCCCAATACCAGTGATTCATCAAAATATTTTGTTTGACATTCGTATGATTGTTTTGTGACTAGAGCCATATTCAGACTGAACAAATCTTTGCACAAAACAACTTGGTGAATTATAGTTGTCAGTACGTTAGAATTTGACTTCATGATGGATTCTGGAGTGTAGTGTTAGGAACCCGTGACTTGTTGAATCGGGACACTGATTAAATGCCGTGATGTATTACGGACTAATTATATTGGAAATGCGGACTTGTGTATAGACTGATTGATGCGAAACATGTCGTGGTCTGTGTTAGGTCCTATGATACAGGATGGTTTCGTGAGAGTTGACTGCCACGAATGTGATGTTTCGAATTTAGATGTGTAAGAGTCCCCACTACTTTTCAATTGTGTATAATTCTACAGTCAATGTTTATTCAATATTCATTGCTTTGTGCTCGAAATGCGCGTTTTGTATGAAACTAGTTAGTTACATAGTGTTAAATAGAGACTTCATGCTAAGTGTTTCATATGTTGTGTTCTGTTTGACAGGTGTTCAGACTGAACGATGAGGGCAATCAACTGTTTCATATTACACATGCTGATATTCTCAGTCCTGTGCGTTCTGGTGAGCAGTTATATAAGTCCATCACGTTCGCGATCAGGTGCTAATCACTTGGAACAAGAGTTAAAGAGAATTGAACAATTGGGAGCTAAGCTTGAAGAAGACATGGTGATATTGAGTGAACAGATTAATAATCTGCAATGCAAGAACGAAAGTGGTAACGTATCGACGGTAAAGCGAAGCCTACAATCAAAAGCAGCATCGATGCAAGATCAGTATTCATATGGCCAACAGCAACGATGCAACAACAATCGCAACAACAGCAACCGCAACAACAACAGTCACAACAACAAAACTCACAACAACAGCAACCACAACAACAACAACAACCACCACAACAACAATACTACTCATCCAATATGATGATGAAGAGACAAATGGGAGGGAAAATTAACCACAATTCACAACAACCTATGAGCGCATACTCCCAATATTCTAATTCATACGGAGGACAGAGTGGATATGGACAACCCATTGGTCAATCACAAATGATGAAACGTCAACAACAGTCAAAACTAGCACAAGCTTTCCATCCTTCACAACAAGGTCAACAACAACAACAACTACCACAACAATATGGATATCCACCCATTCAGCATTACATGCAAATGGGAGGGGTAAATATGCAACCTCAACAAATCCCATATTTCCAACAACCTCAATATTACGATAACATAGGATTTGATGAAAATCAGCAAGACAGTTATGAGCCTGTTGATGGGCCATATGTTTATGATGACAACGTCGAAGAATCGGTTATGGGCGGTGTTGTGAAACGTGAATTGATGTAGACTGAACTTAGATTGAGAATGGAAGTGTTGGTAAAGATTTGAATGGAGATGAGCTAGAATACTGTGATTACTTAGATAAATATTCACTGTTCATCTTCGTGTGTTTAAATATAAATGAATAGTTGCATTTCTGTTCAGTTTTGATTTTGCTAATGTGATCAGGTTTGGGTTTACTAATCGAGCATATGTTGAAACAAGATTCAATATAGAACAGTGTTCCGATTTTGATGAGGAAGATAACTGGTGCTTTAGTGTTAGTATGCGAAATCTGTGCCACTTCGTTTTCTTGTTTGTCTTAGACAAATCTCATCTTATCACTCAGAAGATGTTGATTAGTCAGTTTGACTCACTGACTGAATAACACGATTAATCGATTTTACATCATACCATAGTTGAACTGTTTGAACTGTCTCTGTTCGACATGGATGTAAGCCATCGATTGTGTTGTTAAGACTTTGATTAATCGACTCATCTCACCAGATTGATGGAAATTAAATTTCCCCTTCATGAGGTGTATCATGTTGACAAGTCACGGAGCCAATCGCGAAATCAATCAATGTCAGACGAAAGTGACACTTGTAGGAACAATTGTGTTGAACATGTTTTCATGAACATGACTAGTGTGAGATATGAAAAGCATGTCTACTAAACACATATCCACTACAACAGTCAAGATAATTATTTTTTTAATAATACACTGAAGATTAATACAATTTAGCCTATTGCATGACTGATTGATGATAGTGTGATTATTCCCTACAGTTTGTAAGATAGTAATATAGGATATGTCTAATTATTTCTTGTTCACTCCTATGCAATGTCTCAGTGAACTGTGTGCAAGTCTTAATTGTTTTGAGTAATTTGTAGTTGGAAGAATGATAGTCGTGAATTATGAATTGTGAAGTGACACGCACTGAGAACTTTTTCGTCAAATTATGGATGATAGTAACATACAAAGTACAAGAGTCTGTCGTTTCTCACGTTATCACAGAAACAGATAATGCATTTTTGAATACATTATATCTCGTAGCATTCGAATCACTTGAAGCGTTAAAAAGCGCCATCAGAACTTATGAAAGAGTGACGTACTGCCGTTATATGGTGAGAGTTTCTCATTTCCATAGAGATCAGAAGCCGTATATTAAATTTGTATGTTGGAGAAACGGTAGTAGAACGTATAGCGATTCCTCATATCCGATTAGACGAATGAGATAATTTGATTAGTGTTATTATATTGTTCATGAAGGACTTCAATGAACACTCAATGTCCGGTCTTCATCTTTTGTAATTTTATTGAAGGTTACTAGACTGTTGTATATGGGAATGTTCATCAAAATTATGAGTGCGATTCCCTGAGGTACGACAATAATTCTTGGATGCTCAGCTTAACAGAGGCTGAAACAGTACGACCACTTCCGATTTTCGGGACAACAGCATTCAATATTGTTCGCTTCACTTACTAACAGACTCCAAGATATTTACAATCTTACTCAGCCTCCAAGTGTTCGTCTATTATGTTTAATAACGAAAATTAATGATTTGAAAAATGATTTCAGACTTTCTAAATAAATAACGTATGCGATCTCATTTACAAATGACATGATTTAGTCAGAGGGCATACTTACAAAACATTTGCTGTTGACATTACGTGAAATAGAATCCAATGCCCACTTTACAAGTACAATAACCGATTTACATGACTATATACACAGTCAAGTTTTTTTTTTCTGGACATAATTATAAACCTCCCAGCTAAATAAGATGTACAATATACAGTTCAAAACAATTTATACTATTAATGGATCAACAAAATAACACGATTACAATCTTAAGTTTATTTACGATACCTTTTTTTAAAGCTAAACTAAACAGTATTGCAACTTGGCTGATAGGATTCGATTTGCACTCAGAGAGATTTGACATATATTACATTGATGATCACCAAGTGATCAAGTAATTGTCTGCATTCATATAACGTTTATTAAAAGAGTATACCATGTGTTAAAAACAAAACAATTAATAGACATATTTAGATGAAAATTTGTTTACTAATTGTGTATTAAACATTTTATGATGTGGGTTACTTATATTCACATAAGTAGTATATAACAGTGATCAAGCATAGAATGTATATCAGTAAAAGATCGATAAGAAAAGAATGGGAACGGAACTTTCAACTTCCGTAGTCACTATTATTAACTATTAAAAAACAATTATCAGTTTTTTTCCTAAATTTTCTCTTAATGATCTACATATTGTTACTCTTGTTATGGTAACTAGCGACTTCAGTTCCATATATACTTTATCGAAAAATATTTATCCCGATATACATTCACAAATAGGGCCTCCAAACGCCCTGCTACGGCCGAGAGTGGGGAGAGTCTGCTCTCCCTCTCGAAATGCTCACATGGTCACGCGTATATAGCTTCTGTCAGGGAAGTCCTACTCACTGCCTTCTCGTGGTGGGGGTGTTGTTTACGAAATTGAGAGGACGACAAGCGAATGTCCGGCGCTTCAACCGGGTTGGTTGACGTGGAGAGTCCACCTAGAGGAGTTAAAAAACTCTGATTCCAAACCGATGGTGGAGTATACCAGGGTAGTGAAATATAGTTGATATATGTTTTTTATATTTTTTCAGAAGTTAAAATCTTGCTTTTCTCTTTTTGTATGTTGAGACCTACTGCTGCTGAGACTGCTGCTATAGTGAATTAAAAAACTAATACACGTGACAAAATGTTTGTTCATTATCACTTGAGTATACACTTTCAAAAACAGGTTCACCAATCACTAATTTCTAATTTCTTTTAATCACACCCTAAAATTTCTCATCAGTGAGTGGTGAGGAAACACAACCGCCGTGCAAATAATGTTGCGGTTGTTAACCATAAATACATTTGCTGTTGACATTACTTGAAAAAAATGTAATGTCCACTTCACAAGCACAATAACCGATTTACATGACTGATATTTTCATTCAGTAAAGCCATTAATTATTTCATCATTAAATATACATGGCATGATCACTGAGTGGTAATCAATGTCATATATGTCAGGTCTCTCTTAGTGCAAATCGAATCTTATCGATCAAGTTGCATGGTGGCCACTAGTCTAGGTGACTCGACATTGTGTGCACTATATTAAGATAAGATAGTGATTGGAGATAGTCAACAGGAAACCGTAAAATTTAAACAGCAAACCGTGAACCTAGGTTACGTGCTACTTGGTACTCGTCGGCAAGGTGTTGAATACTTTTAACTACCATCTTATCTAAATATATATGGTGTATATTTGTTATTTCCTGATTTATATAGTTAAAATAATTCAATTTCAAAGTCACAAATGACACTGAAAATCTATTATAAGGTATACTTTAACAAATTTCATTTTTTCCAAATGAGTTTTACTTTACATATGAGAAAACAAGTGTTAAACTTAAGAATATGATACCATTTTTATGAAATATAAAAATATCTTCTTAAGCTACTCGAATATAATTACCTTACATTGAGTTACATAATCATTATTATATAATAAAAATAAAGTGAGAAGAGAGTAAAAACAAATGTAAGATTGGTTGAAGTTAGACATTAACACCTTTAAATACTGGCCGGCTCAGTGGTTTGGAGGTTAAGCGATTGAGCGCAAGATCAATAGGTCCTGGGTTCGAATCTGGCGAGGTGGGGTCGTGGATGCGCGCTTTTGAGGAGTTCGGTACTAGGATAAAACGGCCATCTGATGCCTCTAGGTTTCCTATGGTGACCTAGCTTCAAATGACTAATGAATTCAATTAATAAATGTAAGGAAGTTTATATTGTTTAAATAAAATTATATATTTATATTTAAATGCGTACAAACATAAATATCAATCATTGATTTAAGGAATCACCAGTATACATGTAATTTAATTCGTTAATAGGGTAACTGAAAACTAATCAATAAAACATTGAAGTTACTATGCGTCATTATTTAATTTCCAAGTTGTAACATATATCCAGCTTGTTCATCACTGGGTACCTCTTCATTTAAGTAATTATTATATTGTTGATAATTATCTAATTTTTCATATGATTTATGAAAACTAGGATGTGTATTAAATGATTGTAATTCTTCTCTGATCATATTTGCTCTTAATTGCCTTTTAATAGTTTTTAATGGTTGTATATTTTGTAGAAGTTGATATGTGTAATTATATTGTTTAGGTTGTGTTTGTCTTTGATTCTGTTGAGGAATTTTTGTAGGTTGCTTATTAGAGTTTTTGTGTATAGTTTTATGAATAGTATTATGTTTAACTATTGTTTTCTTTGATGATTTTGATTTTCGCGCTTGTGTCAATTCCCAGTAACTGATTATCAAAAGAAATATGATTAAAAATGTCAGTAAGTTGATTGTTCGCGATTTATTTGTCTTCATGATTCAATGTATTCACCTGTGATTTAAGAAAATAAGATATGCTTAAATAAATTAACGGGCCAGATGACTCAATTGATTAATCACTAGGTAGTGATCGATGTCATATATGTCAGGTCCTTCTTAGTGAAGATCGGATCCTATCGACCAAGTAGCAATATATCCACTAGTCTAGGTGACTCGTTCTGCACTAAGGACCTGACACACATGACATTGATCATCATACAATGATCAATCAATTTTAAATAAATCTCAGTCTTACAAGAGATCAGTCGTGGACCGGATAGCTCAGTGTTAATGTCTCTGACTGTAAAGCTGAGTGACACGGAATCAAATCTGTCAGGGAGCATCAGTTACCTCAAGATTACAGGTACACCTTGCTGACGAATGTCAAGTACCGCGAAATCTGGGTCCAGGGTTTCCAGTTGACTACTTCCAACCACTATCTTAAAAAAGAACACTTACATATCAGGGAATATGTTGAGCCTCAACTATAAATATGTACGAGTGTTGATGTTGTGAAAATATCATTTCGACTGATAGTTTACACATAGTGATATTACTTATGAAATTAATGATCAATTCAATGAATATCATTGAGAGGAACGCAAATGAAGACAAGCCAAAATAACTTCAGAATCTAAACATCTAAAACACTATTGACGATGAAAAATTAAAACTCGATACAATCAAGACATCTGATAATGGGTGAAATTCCTTCAAGAATGGAAAACCAAAGTTTTGTCCGTTATCTGAGTGGAAGTTTTTTAAAATTGGAACTGAAATACATTGAATGATTAGATAGTAAGCCTGAAGCCAACATAAGCAACACATTGCCTCAGGATCAATTCACCGCAGGATTCGGTGTTAGGCTAATCACTTTTCACTCGCAGTTACTAAGGAAATCCTTGTTAGTTTCTTTTCCTCCCCTTAGTGATATGCTTAAGTTCAGAAGCTAATCACGTCTGATTCGAGGTCAGGGACAACTGTATAATTCGTGTGTGATACACGTACTATCAGTATAAACCACAGACCACACGTACAGACAAGACCAATTAGTTAACGTAACGTACGATAAGAGAGATTTTTCCCGGTCGTGTATAATGTCATTAAGCCACGACTCAAGCACAACCTACCACAGCATCACAATTAAGCCATATATACCGGGCTAAGCTGTGGCCGAATTCTTAGAACGGAGCCTTTGACTAGTAACTCACATTGATATGGGGGTACACATGCTCGCAGGTACTCGTCGAATCCCCGATTAATTGTGCGTTGTAATAGACGAAAAGCCAACCTTTGATCAGGCGTGATCACAGTATATCCCGTAACTGCAATACGCGTTCAAGATGTCGATGTTCAAGGCAGTATGCAGTTCACATTAATTCACATAGTTGGCGGTATTCTCCATCGACACACGAGCTGAGAGACTCATCGCTCAAAGTTGTACCCCAATAATCTCACACACTGTTTTTCCAAATGCATAGAATTAATGATTAACACTACAGAGTTCGATGAGGAATGCAGATAGGTGATCTATGTTCCTCCATGAGGGATAACAGGCATAAGTCAGTTGAATAGTGACAATTTATTAATACAGTATGAGCATATATATTTAATATGATACTTACTTATTATTTCAGTGAATAGAGCCTTTACAAGCAATATGAATAGGATAATGTATTTATATTTTATAGATCTGTTTCCAATAACAACCAATTGTCATCTGATGGTTACCAGTAATTAATTAAAGAACTTGTAAAAATTGACCTTTATTTACCAGTAACTAAGGTATAATTTCTAATGCATTTGTTTATGTCATTTCTAACAATGATGGTTTGACATATGTAAGCATTAAAGACTCGTGTACACAATAGATATTTCTATTCAATGAAATTATAGTAATGAGTAGTATATAAGAAACTTTGCTGAAAATTGAAAAGTTGTTTTACATAAATGTCTAGATAGAATACATTATTAATCAAGAAAACAGTAATAATAACAACAAAATCAATTAAGAAACACATTTGAACTGATAGTAACCGAACATTATAAATATGAATCTTATTTCATTAGTCTTCGTAAAGCTTTATACCTGATCTATTTCAAAAACGGCTATTAGTTTGAATGGTATAGACACTGGTATGACTATGTCACCAATTGGTGTTATATCTGGTTGTCGCTAATTACTATATTAAAATTACTTATCCTGCTCGAGGGATCGTGAATGCACACTGTTGAGGAAGAGTCCCACAATAGGACGAAATGGCCGTCCAGTGTTTCCAGGTTTTCAATGGTGGTCTAACATTAATCGGTTTATGATCTTAATCAAAAACTTAACAGTCTCTGCAACCCCTAAACTGATTATTACTTATAATTGTAAAATAAGTAACCACAATAATTCCAACGAACATCAAGACTGATACAAGTGAGTTATAACAGACTACAGGTTGCATGTTATACTTATCATAGTTAACGTTAACTTAATACATGACTGTAGTATGTTATATCGAATGGAATATCATACTGGAAGACAAAAACAAGTAATACATTGAGTACTCAACACATTGAATTAGAAAATAGAAGTAATATTGAAGAAAAATTACATTGAGTAAAACAATATAATTTTATCTTTTCATCCCGTCAAATCATATACAAGTAAATGTAGGTATCAGAATGGGTTTTGTGGAGATTTTTTGAAATTTCACAGGTTGAAATCATGAGTCAATTGAAGTTAGACCACCATGGAAAACCTAGAAGCATTGAACGGCCGTTTCGTCCTAATGTGGGACTTCTCCTCAGCAGTGCGCATCCACGATCCCACACAATAGATAACAGAGTTGGAGTACTTGATATAATGATTTATAGTTTGGGAAAGTATGACAGTATGAACAGGGCTACCGATCACTAAATCAATCGTTCTAATAACATGTACACAACAATAATTACTGGCTATTATTGTGAATTAATCGACTCACAACAGTATTCATCATCCATTAGATTAAAAACACGGTGCGTAATTATTCCAATCTGTTGACCAATGTTCAGTTTGTAGTAAATGTTTCATGACGTTGCATCGTGTCACTATTTCACTCCGATCCTGTAACTTCAGTAATAACGTATTTTCGAGAGTGTTGTAATTTCCGACATCTCCTCTACTGGTTATGTGTCGTTGTTCACAACTGTCGTTGAATATCGATTGATAGTAAGTAGAGATTTGGTCACACTTCTCACTTGTCCAGTTGATATCTCACAATATGTTTGTCATAATATGTCAAATCTTTCACTTGATTTCAATATAGATGAGATACATCTAGAACTGAGTTGTGCATGAATCGAGAGTTCGTCACATCTCGCTCACTGTTCCTTCACTATGCGCACAAATACCACTGAGTGTGAAATCTAACAACACTCATTCATCGGAATTATTGACACATCAATGTGTTATTCACTTACATGTGTTCGACCAACACATTTATTTATGAAACATGAAATGATAAAATCTAGAACTGGAATTCAATTAGTATCAATCGGTGAGAGACTTTTGTCGATATTAGGTTCCTGAGACAGCGTATGTTCTAACAATTCATATTGAACTAGTGAACAATCTTCGTAAATGCTTTTCGCTACACATCGAATTAAGCTCATGTGAAGATGTCATCAGAAATGGGAATGTCAAACCAAATCTGATAAGATTGTCCATTTCATCTATTCATATTTCATTTTCTCATGTATATCAACCTAGAAATATCAGTCGTTTGCATCTGACCCGATTGCGAATGATCTCCTAAATACAGATTACTCATCGAGCCATTGTACTCAATCGATGCATTCTGAGTGAGTAAGACGTTGACAAAATACAGAATGTGGAGTTGCTTTTGTGTAACGATGTGTTCTTCTCATGCATAATGCATGATGTTACTCGAAAATTAGTATGACTAAGAATTGTGTAGTGAATGTGATTGTTTGAAAATGTGATTATCTCACAGACACGTTATCTGGTTTGTTGGATCGACCTCTGATGAATGAACGTGTGTGTTGTTTCTGATAGATCGGGATAAGATGACACAATGGAATTTTGTTTATTTGACTCATTGTGATTGTTGTTCGATATTATGACCGTTTTGTTAATTTAATATGATGATTATTCAGTGTAGTATTTGTTAATGTTTTGCAGTGTGATATTTTATTCGGTGTAACATTACTTGATTTGAGTGTGATTTCTATTCAATGAACAATGATCTTGTATAAAATTGATATGAACTGATACTCTTAGTTCGAATCGTGGGGATTGTGGTGGTTCGTCGATTTCAGGCAACGTGGACATATCAGTACACTAATGCTTGATCATGAAATCCTTCAACGCTTTACCACAGATTGTTAGGACAACTGAGCAATTTGTGGCGTCCCCATACATGGGCTGATAATTCGAGATGTGAAATGGGTTGATGGAGTTGTTGGTCATCATCACCTGAACTCGATTTGTGTGGCGTACGCTTGTCCACTGTCTTATTTGTATTGTGGCACAAGCTTTCAACTCAAATGTACTATTGTGTTACTGAATTGACATGCACACGATTACCGTAGTTGGTAAGTGAATGAGAGGGTGAGTGGAGACCATCGATGGTATATCTCGAAATCAGTATCGCTACTAATTATCCAATTTACTTAGGACTTAATTTTTAATGCAAGCTATATCTCGCATGATTTATTCGTTTATTTTATTCCTTCGAAACATGATATCTATGTGTAGTTTATTACCGTCATCGATACTGTTATTATCGTTACTACTCAGATATGTATCATGGTTATTTTACCTCGTACCATGAGTTATGGACGTGAAGACACAAATGCGAAATGAGAAATGAAGCGACATTTAATGGATGTACCATCTGAGATATACATCTGTAGTATACATATTGATTCCGATATCTGTGACATTATTCATTTGTAATGTGTTTACAAGAAAGCACTGAAACTACGCACATCATTTTGATGTGAGTGTCACGAGAACTATCGACTTCGATACAGAGATCTAAAAGCTAACTGTGACAGTTCTTCTGAAATCGAACAACTGAGTGCTTTAATACACTGATTTTCCCAATATACATTAAAAGATATCAGTTCAGACGGAAAATTTGTCGTCAGTCAGAACATTTGTAAGAACGATAAAATTCCAGTCTATTGGAAACATTCAGTCTCAATCAAATCAAGTGTTCGCTATCTGGTGATTTATTTTGCTCAGTAGTCAAATAATTGTCAAACTGTTACTCGAAATGATGCAAATACTATTCAAAATTATACGGGCTATCATTGTGCAAATGTAAATTGACCAGCATCCAATCTATTTGTTAGTTGATTCGAGATTGATATTAACCTATTTGTGAACAGATCTTGGTGTAGTATTTCGAGGAGTTGATTGTTGATTGGGTAAACAATAAGAATGGTGTTCGTTGACGTGGATGGATATACACATATAAATATGAGTGAGTTTGAAAACCTGGAGAACTACAAAAGCCATCATCCAGAAAATACAGGTGTTTATCAACAATTGTCTACGCAAAATACTTCAGATCCATTGGCCGGACACTATTAGCAACAACGTACTGTGGGAGAGAACAAAGCAGATCCCAGCGGAGGAAGAAATCAGGAAGAAGCGCTGGAAGTGGATAGGACACACATTGAGGAAAGCACCCAACTGCGTCACAAGACAAGCCCTCACATGGAATCCTGAAGGCCAAAGGAGAAGAGGAAGACCAAAGAACACATTACGCCGAGAAATGGAGATAGACATGAGAAAAATGAACAAGAATTGGATGGAACTAGAAAAGAAGGCCCAGGACAGAGTGGGTTGGAGAATGCTGGTCAGCGGCCTATGCTCCATTGGGAGTAACAGGCGTAAGTAAAGTAAGTAAGTAAGTAAGTAAGAGTTTGAAAGGTGTATACTTATCAATACACTGTTAACATAAGAATAGTGAATTGAGGTAGGTGAGATGAGATTTTTATCATGACAGTGTTTGAAGATAGATGTTTAGTTGAATTAAACGTTGATTGTCTATCGAGTAAATGAGTTTATTTTATCACGAAGTATTTTGATGAATCACATAATGGAACTCGTACTTCAACAGAAATATCATATTTGAAATTTGTTTGAGTTTAGTAAACGATTGTAAGAGAGTACAATGCGTCGTTTGAAAAATACTGATGTGGACTGTTGAATTCTATCAATGACTTCCCACTCTTATTGTTTTTGTATTGTTTAACGGGTGTCGTTATACGAGGACAGATCAAGAGGAGTGATACTGATGATTTCCATTGAAACAATGAACAGGTTGGATGTTTTGTATCCCACCTATGTATTCACCACGTGTAGTGACCACGTTCTACTTAGAGTAATTGATGATATGCCAATCGAAACACGTAACTTTCGGAATGTAGAATTCTGATTAAAATGTTGTATGAAATGAAGTGGTTGTGTGTAAACTCGATTATCCTGGTAGACCAGTGAGGTAGAAAGGAGAATATTGTTTGAGTTGAATTGAAAATGTCGACTGAACTGATGAGAACTGAAGCATGTGAGAGATCAGATCCTTGTCATTGCATAATTTTTGTCGATGATGTTGACTTGATGGATTTGCACAAAGTCACTGTTATTCGCCCTAATTGCACCAATTAGTGATGAGGTGACGATTTCCTGCTTGAAACACAGATTTTCCAATAACCTGATTATAGTTGACGTCGAGTAATTTCATCGGCATTCTCCACTGAACCAATTCACCGATATCACATTTTCTTATATCTGCATTGTGTAGTGTCGTATAAGTTGATAAACACTGAAGCTGTTGCAGTATGATTCGGTTGATTATCTATTCGCTTTTCCTAATTTAATTTGTTTCTATGGATAAGCACAAATAGGTAATTGTGTGGTTTGTCGAATAGTAGTCTCAAGATATTATGTGAGTAAGAGTGAGTGAGAACATGTGGTGATGTGTGACATTCAACTTCAACACCACTTGTTGTCATCACTGTTTGAATAAACATGAATTGATTCTTCTCGATCTTACTTTCAGATCGTTTGTTATGATGACAAAACAGATCTTCATATCGTTTGGGGTGTTGTTCATTCTGGCTGTTTACTGTGATATGGTTGAGAATGCAGTAATCAAAAGAATGTTCATGCCCAATGAAATGCCTGTAAACATGCCAATAATGTCCAACAATGAAGGCATGAATGACTATGAACTACAGAATATCGTCTCAACATTAAAGTCTCTTTTGCAAAACTACGTCCAGTCCAAGATGGGTGGAGGACAACAACCTTATCCATATATGGATTATAATCAATTTAGAAATTCAAGACCATCATACTATGAACCGGTCACAGATTATCCAATTTATCCGATGGACTACCAGGGCACATATCAACCGTATGATTTACCTGAATCGATCGGCTCAACTGACAGTCCATCAATGTATTATCCACAACAGTGATGTGTTTTGCGTGTTGTGTTAGACGAAGTATTTCGTCAGTGATATTTTGATGAACTCATTTAGTTGATATTTCACATATAATACATGTTATGCGTAATGACTTTTTGTTTTACTGTTTGTGGGATGACTTTGGATGAAATAGGTCAATACAAATGATTGATTGATACATACCGGTGTATTTTTCGAATTAACATGATGAGTGGTTAGTGTGTTAGGAAACAGCATGCAAGCGAAAGGAACGTGATGTTAGTGAGTGTTGTGGAGTCACTGGTGTTAGACGATTACTGATAAGGAGGAAATGGAGGACAATTGTTTCGTCTTGATATGGAATGATTGTTGATCGAATCAGCTGTACAGAGCTTCCTCGATATAGTGATTATCTAACTAGTGTGAATTCGTTGAACGGAACTTGGAAACAACCTGTTTGGCACGATAGTTTTATAGAAAATTGGATCAAGTTCATTGACATAGATAATAATAAATCACGCTGACACCAATTTATACTGTAACTACTTGTTTGGATAAACGCGAAATAATCGAAGATAGAATTTCAGTTGTTTTATCTCGACTTGTAATAACATCCTAATACAGTCGTATTCAGTCTCGTTCATTTGTAGATTGATCTCACATAAGTGATTATGATCATCGACTATTCACCATTCTCCTCACAGTTTCTATTCAGTGTACAGAGGTGGCCACTTCATATCTGTACATAAATGAAGTTTTATCAAACTCATACCTAAACGGTCACACAATATGGAAATATGTGTTTTGGTAAACATTTCGATAGTTGTAGTTATCTGGTTAGAGTTGATGCTATGAGGCCGATACTTCTCGACAATATTCCATGAGATGAAATGTAGTTGTAGTAAAAATGCTGATGTATGTGTGAATATGTGAATATCACGAGCACCAACTTTTACAACGAAGATGGTGTGATTATCATTGACGAGTGTGAAACCCGTGTGTTCTGATATCCGTTCTACAGCTAAGTTTTCTCTGACTCAATAAACAAGCTGATCACTATTCATGTGTATTATTTTGATGTTGATCAAATGATATCGTATTGTGAAATAAATGCAATGATCCAGTTGACCCTGTTTACAGTATAGAAGTGAGAAGTATATTTGTTATTTTTAGTGTTTGCTCGTTTGTTTCGTTCCACAGTATGTGTTTCTGTTGTTAGAGATGACTTAACTGTGGTTTAGGACCTTTTGAAGCTGTTTTCCTTCAATTTTGTCTGACTCTCTATATCTATATCTATTTATCTATCTATCTAGCTATCTAGCTGGCTACGTATCCATCTCACCACGTATATATTGATTTCATGTTTATTTAGCATATTGTTTTGTTGTTTTCTCATTATACTGGCTCCAAGCGTTCATTTGATCCTTAAATTGCTGGTAGAGCATTTTCAATTTTCAAGTAGAATCGACTATGTGCATTCCAGGTACTCCGTGATTTCCATCATCAATATTATTGTCCAGTGTTAGTACAGGTAATCAATTGGTCTACACTGTGATCGAGACTTGCATGTATTTAAATGAAGGTGTGAAATATAATAAGGATGTTGGATTGGTGGACATTGTTCTTGTGTTCTTCCTATTCGTGTGGTGCTTGTGATTATTTGACTAACCATCAAGTAGAGAGTATGAGTCTTCGAAATACTTGACTGATGTGTATTTGTTGCTTAAGGTAATCCTTGCGTATTGGTCGGTTGTAGGTGTTAACAAATTTCACGCATACATGTTAATTCATAGACATGATGGAATAGGACAAAACCACTTAATGCTGTGTCGAGTTTTTTATGCAACGTAGATATCGACTTGTAGATAGTGATAAATTGAGCTGCGTAACGTGTTTCACTCATAGCTAATTCATGTCTTCTTTTCAAAATAAGACTATTTGAGTCACCTCTGAATTGTACGCTAATATAGACCAGTTTTGAGGATGCCTAAATCCTAGTGGGTCTCGTCGTATTGAATACATCGTTACAATGTTTCTCATCAGATGCACATAACCTGAATTTACTTTAGCATTATTATTATTATGATAAAAGGTTTCACATACTTTAATCAATGAAGGTTAGTTCGAAACAACATTGTAAACATGATGAGGAAACAACCCATTCTACATAAAATGGTATAGATGGATGAATATTTATGAATTGGAGATGCAATCCAAAAATGAACGGTATGAAGTTGTCAATAATGATGAACGGATGATGAATCAGAACTACTTGTCAACAAATGATTGATGTAGTCGCACAACCTTATTGGTATTGAATAAAAGTTAATGTGAAGAGTGTTTGTTCGAGGAAAAAGTTTTTCAAAATAAAAGGATAATTCAATTGACCAATGTTAAGTAATGTAACTATTTTACTTTACCAATGAGACGTTTACTACACATTCCGTATACAAAGATCAGGTTGAAAACATTTGATATTGGTTGCCTCTATAATACGGAATAGAAGTGGTGTTCGCTGCTTGCTAGTCATTGTAAACGGCTTTGTAACATTCATGTTGTGTCGACTATTCATTATATGTCTAGTGATAGCACATGTGAACATTATACTTCTTTCGAAACACAGCATTGAAAGAATATGCTCAGAAAACCTTGTAAATACCTTTGATTCAGTCCTTCTTATGTACATCATTATACAAGTACATGTCAATTAATGGATGGATATTTGAAGGTAACATCAGAAGTGTATTGATTCACTTTTGACTAGTTTATGGAAGATCTAATGTTACACAATGAGAATAGATGGTTTTGAGGTCAAGTTCAGTTTAGCTCTGCTTTTAGTATATTATCAATTCTACTTGGAATCTCCTCACTTTTGACAATAAGATGGATGAATTTCTTTTGTGAACAGTTGTTTGTTTGAAATTGTTCTACTATAACGCTTGGTTTTCCACGTTTACACAAATGGGACGTTAATTTACCCTAAACAAATATCTACACTAGATTCCCTCTCAGTGTCTATTGTACATGAATTCAACAAAACTCAGATCACGAACACGTGATTAACCTGACTAGAACGTAAATATCTTTCCACATCAAAAACCGACAACAATCGAACATCAACCAATAGTCAGTCAGTAATAATAATAATAATAATAAGGATGGAGGAATATACAACTCATCTAACGCATGTCAGACTATCAACAAGTTCGACTAAGCGAATAACCAATCATTATCATTCTCTTCCACATATACTTCATAATAAATGTCTTCGACTATTCACGTTTTATACGTCATACTTCAATGTCATTTGAACCCCCAACCAGTTTTCGGGATCAACACTGAATCCAAACTCATGCAACTGTGCATTTATATATATATATATATATATATATATATATATATATATATATATATATATATATATATACAGTGGTTACTTAAATCTTCTCCTAGAGTTAATTGGTTCTAAGTTAGACATTCACACCGTTACACGTTAGTCTAATGGTCTAGAGTTTAAGCGTTCTTGCTCAAGACTAGATGTCCTGGGTTTGTGTACCGCTTTCGGGTCATGGATGCTTATTGTTGAGTAGTCTCATAGTAGAACGTAACAGATGTCCAGTGCTTTCAGGTTTCCAATTGTTGTCTAATTTAAATCGACTTATGAATTCAACTATTAAAACTATTACAATCTCCACAAACCCCGATTCTGATAATAAATATCTGACGTAAATTGTGAAGTATTCTGATTTATAGTTCGCTTTATGAATTTAAATAGCACTTGTTCTGGCTTTATTTGATTTATAGACCTTATATTCTTGTCGCCATTACACGATATACAAATTCAGTTTATATTTGTTTGGCACTAGTATCATTAAACAAACATTCTATTAATAGATTATAATTGTTTCAGTGTTCAATCTTTGTGAATTGTCTAAATCATAACTAGAAAGATTAACACAGTTTCTAATCAATCTAAAGAGTGTCTTGATTTCAATAGTTGAGATCATGATTCAATTGAAGCTAGACCACCAAGTAAAACGTGGAAGAATTGAACGGTCGTCTCGTTTTATTGATTAACGAAGTGAGATTAAATTATTGTATTAAAGTATATGAAAATACTCCCAATCATCGATCTTTTAAGAAAAAGGAGTCTGATGTTTCACATTTATTAGATGTTAAATCCACCCAACACATTGGAACTTCATTTCTTGATTAATTTCATTTGTCTCAAACTCTACTACTTGTAACAATTCGGTAGTTTGACTTACATTGAAATATTCCAAAAGTATCAAGTGATACAGATGATGTTTAGCAGATACGCATATCATCCATCCTATTTCTTACTCGTCAGTTAGATGAACATGTACATCAAGTTTAATGTTTACTCAGACAATCTATATAACTCAAATGGACGAAATATGTATGGATTACAATAGTAAACTGTTGTACAAATGATTTGAAAATAATGTTCAGTTTGTGGTTGCGGAGAATGTTGAATATACTAGAAACCATCAACAGAACTAGGATGAAACAGGCTTCCACTATTCCAGGTTCTCAACAGTGGTCTGAATTAAATCACAACCTGCTTTGAACGAAACTCAACAAGTTCAATAACACCATAGTAAAATTATGACGTGCTAACTAGTAACTGGTAGCTTCGAGAGGAAGTTTCAGGATTTTTAGTGAGAAGTCTTGACCAGTGTAGATAAACCTTGTCAGGACTGAATCTCTCACCCACCAAAAACAATAGAAGGTGGTCGCGCAATATCGTATATTCATTGACGTTCGATATTGACACTGTTGGACACGGTCTAAATGGTATACAGAATAAGTACTTGCTCACGAAACCGAATGTCGTTTGTTCGATTCTCACGTTTGGGGCCATAAATGCAGAACACTGAGGAGTCACATACTCAAACAATCTGTGTTCAATGCTTTCAGACCTTCAATGGTAAGTCAAAATTGATCAGTTACTGATGTCAATGACCATTATTTGTACAATCCACTTGATGACCACATATCAACAAAGACTAATACGATGTGTTC